ATTATTGGTTCAGATTGGAACTAGCAGTATTCTCACTTACAAGAAGGAAAGGAGTTGGGTTCCGACAATTACCGTGTTAAATTGAAGATCCCGTGTTTTAATTTGGACAGTTGTCAGCGGCACCCAAGGGCAAAATTGCTGGAAAAAGGACTGAGGAATCAAGCAGGTTCGTCTTCACTTTCTTCTGATATGGTTTTTTTCTTACTTTATTTCCCTTTTCCTTCACTCACATGCTTGTTCGCGAGATAAACATATGGAGCCACTAATAAATAAATAAATAAATAAGTAAGTGCACCCAAGGTTGTGGCCTACTGGTCAATGATGTGGGTTGAATACCTTGAAGTCTCAAGTTCAAATCCCAACAGAGACAAAAACACTAGGTGATCTCTTCCCATCTGTTCTAGCTTCGGTGGACAGAGTGACATGATACATGTTAGTGGTGGGAGGTGACATGGATCTCGTGGAATTAGTCGAGGTGCATGCAATATGACACGGATACCACAGTTACAATTTTTTTTTTATGGCTAATAGGGCTTTGGTTTAACAATAAAGGTAGTGTAACGAAGAAGAATGTGTGGTAGGCACACAACATGGGTTCAAATTCTGTTGGTGAATTAAGTTTGGTATTTTAATGGAGAAGGATAGTAGGAAGAGGCTCAAATATCCACCAAGTTTTGACGCTAGAAACAACATATTTCTCAGTTATTCGAAACAAACGAACCTATCGGGCTTGGTTTCACTAACATGCGTCCTTCGCCAGAAATTGCGAGCCAGGTTAAAAGCGGTGCTAGTCTTCACTCGACTATCTTGGTGTTGGAGCAGTTGATCTGAGCTATCAGTTTAATCTCACCAAGCTCAACAAATCGAGTGTAATCTTTAACAAGCTCTCGGCAGTTCAAACTTACCAATTTGGTGAAACAATTAAAACCACAAAAATTGTAGGCCAACTTTGTCTGAGCTACTTTGAAAAATTGAAAAGGAGAATTAAGAGACTAAAACGGAATACATAATAGGAGCTATTACAATTTACAACTAGGCAATAATGGTAAATGATGAACTAATTTTTGACTCAAGTACTATTGTATCCTTGAGCAAAATTACTAGACATCTTGAGTGCACTGCTTGTTAACAGATAAAGTATGTTGCGGTTTCGGTTTTCTATTTTTCTTTTCTTCCTGTAAATAATCGTATCATATTAGTATGAAGTGCTTTTTCCATGCTCTTTGATCTCATTAACTCGCTCATATACATTTTGTTGTTGTGCTTTCATGCTGGCAGTTCGGGGATTGATGAACTGGAGAAGAGATTGGCTGCACTTAGAAATCCTTGATCTCGGTATCTTGGACTAGTCCTTGTGGAGTTTCACCACACACAAAACATGATTCCTGTAAGTTTTATGTACATAATTTTGTTCCAAGAATGATGTAATGCATCAATCCGTGATCTTCTTTGAGTGATAAATGGTTGTCCAAAAGCTACAAACAATGTATTTGTTGTTTGATAAAGTCAATCTTGGCGTGAGTTTCTTTCATCTCTTGTCATTAAATTTTTTACTCACATGTGCTAGTGTGTGTGCATTTTGTTTAATAATGGTGGTTTGCAGAGCAACCTATGCGAACCTCGATTATTTCACTATACCTTCTAACCCCCACCAATATAGGGTATATTGTTTAGGGGGTTACAAGCAATTCCCTTCAACATTCGACAATGCCTAAGAATAGTCATGCTCTTTCACGAGCATATGTGCATTTGTACAATTTAAGACCTCCAAATATCATATATCATATATCATATATAATATATAATATATATATATAAAAGAGAACTCAAGGCCCGCCTACGTGGCACCACCACAAACAAGGATTCTCTTTTAATTTATTTATTTCCAAAATTAGCTTTCCTCTTTCATGAAAAGTTGTGACTTTTTTTTAAAAGTTGTGACTTTTATGAAAAGTTGTGAGTTTTGTGAAGAGTTGCGACTTTTATGAAAGGGTGTGACACTTCCGAAGCCTTTCACGAAAAGTTGTGACTTTTATTATAAAAAAAAAATTATTATTACGGTTTAAATTTAATAATAAATAATAATATAAAACATCTTTTAAGATAACGATGCATGTAACTTAATTCGAAAAAGGAATGGGACATAGCATTTCGTGGCCGTCTATTTTTGGAGGACTGAACTTTTAGTCCATTGTACTTTTACCAGAAGCTAGTACTCCCTCCGTCCCTTTTTAGTTGTCCACTTTAGAAATGGCACACAGATTAAGGCAACAATGATTAGCACAGTGAAGTTACAATTTTACCCTTATGACAACTTTTCACTTCAAAATTACAACCACTTATTTGAATTCAAGTGAAATAAATTGGAGGGAAACAACATACACTTTTACAATTTTCAAGAAGTGTAAATAAGGGTATAATAGGAAAAAATTTGTTGTCCTTTCTTGATTTGTCAAAATGGACAACTAAATAGGGACAACTAAAAAAGGAAATATGGACAAGTAAATAGGGACGGAGGGAGTAACATTTATGAAAGGTTGTGACATTTTCGAAGAGTTGTGACTTTTTCAAAGAGTTATGACCTTTCTGGTAAGACACATTAAGCATTTGTTCACACTACCATTTGTTGTCTATAGATAGAGGAGTTTCCTCTCATTTTAAAACAATGAAAATTCTAAACTACTTCTTCTTCTTCTTCTGCACAGTTAAATATTTGATTCTGAACTACTACTTCTTCTTCTTCTTCTTCTGTACAATTAAATATTTATGTACTTTGATCCTGTTTAGTGGTTCACTAACACTATTGTTTTGGTATCATTACATTGGTAAATAAAAACGTTTCATCCTGAGAGGATCTATTTCTTTAAACCTCGGGTACTAGAGGGGAATGATATTCTTAAGGAGACACTGTGCATTTAGTGGGCTCGATTTTTTCGTTTTGTTTCATTTTATTGTTACAGATCCTGGTTTTTTTACCGTCATTAATTTATGCTTATGATATTAATTGTTGTTTTTGAGTACATGTTTTAAACTTTGTTGTTTATGTTTTTGTAAAGTTATTGTTATACAATTATATGATACACAATGATGACTATTATCTCACACCAAAGTACTTTTTTGAACTTTTTTCCCATTATCCCTTACTTGGACCCTTAATGTTTTGTTTGTGCACAACTTCAATTCTAAAACACTATCATAACTATAATACATATGAAATTTGGATTTTGGAAAATTGCATTTTAATTTTAAAACACATAATGACTACATATTACTTATTGGTATATCAAATGATTATGGAACCTTTGCTCTTGATAAACACATTAGTTATATATATATATTAAAAAAATATTTAACATTTTGAAAGTAATTGATAGTGTTATACTAACGAAATTTGCAAAGAAGAAAATTGAGAAAAATATTTATTTGACTCTCTAATTAAAGACACTATGTAACCATGCATATAAATAATAAAAATAAACTAACCATTGTAAAATTTCAAAAGCAAATTAATGAATCTGTAAAATGAAATTATGTAAACTAAGAGAAAATAGTGTTATGATTTGTAATTTTGTCTTTTCTTTTAATAAAACAAATGGTAAACTACAATTGAATAACCTCTATACTCTTAAAAACAGATTTATATAAAAATACTATAACATCAAAATACAAGAAAAGTTCTATTCTAATAAATTTTAAAGAAGAATATTCTAAATGCGCAAAGCGCGGGCCCATTTACTAGTATATATATAAAAGAGAACCTTATGCCCGCCTACGTGGCGCCACCACAAATCAGAATTCCCCTTTAATTTATTTATTTCCAAAACTAGCCTTCCCTTTTCATGAAAAGTTGTGACTTTTATGAAATGTTGTGACTTTAATGAATAGTTGCGACTTTTATGAACAGTTGTGACTTTTATGAATAGTTGTGACTTTTATGAAGAGTTGCGACTTCAATGAAGAGTTGCGACTTTTATGAAAAGTTGTCACTTTTATGAAAAGTTGCAACTTTAATGAAGAGTTGCGAACTACTACTTCTTCTCCTTCTCCTTCTTCTTTACAATTAAATATTTGTGTGTTACGTGGCTCACTGACACCATTGCTTATGTTACAGATCCTGGTATGTATTTTTATAGTCATTAATTTATGCTTATGTTATTAAGAATAAATGATAAGATGCAATAATTTTCATTTTCCTTTACATTATTAATGTTTGTTACTACGTAATCTTGTATTGAAAATAATATTGTGTTTTAGTTTTAATGACTGATAGGTTTTAAGTATTATTTTATAAATTCTATGATATTAAATTTCCGCGCGAAGCGCGGGTAATTTTACTAGTTGCAAACTAATTCAACAGAAATTTTAAACACATCTCTGTTATGATCATTAAATTCATTAACAGGAAAAGTTACCTTATCCACTACAACCTTACCAGTTACGTCAAGGCTCTCCTTATCAAAAAATAAAACATGGCCTCTCTCACCTCAATAACTAGCTTTGGGTGTGAGTTAACCAGTTAAGCCCAAGATCGTTACGTATTCTTCCTTGTTAGTTCTCTTTCTTCTACACACGTTAAATATCTTCCTCCATTAATTCTTCAGCTCTCTTAGATTCTTTAAGGTGAGTTATATTGATCCGAGAAATGCAAACACATCATTCAATACACACAACATTTATTGTATATCATCAAAACTCATAATATTACATTTTCCCGAGTTATGGAAAGCTTATAAAACTAAAAATCAAATCCAACATCATAAGTTGCAACATAGGAAGAACCAAATCCATTACGCCAATGTCTTCTTATTCTTGGCATCTAAAAATATAAGAAAGTGAGCCACACAACTATAAATTTTTAGCCTCTGTTCTCACAGTTTCCAACTGATTACTAGCAATTCGTACCAAGCGTTAATAAGTATTTTGTTTATATAAAAAAAGCATAAAACCTAATATATTAGTTGTTAGAATAAACTAAAAAACATTAGTGTAAAGCTTAGCATGAATACCTGAAGTTCTGAAATCAAATTCTTCTTTACTGGTAACTTGTCTAGAAGCGATTATTTCTTCTTCTGTAATTCTTTTGACCTCGCTGCTTCTTTCTCCTTCGCATGATAATTTTGTGTTCCAGTTCTTCAATGATTCTTGCAAGCCATCTTAGATTTCCAGTTGAGATCAAGAAATATATTATGGATAAGCCAATACATAGCCCACTGCCATAGCCCATCAGAGCTGCTTTCCAAAAATCATTGAAAAATTCAGAATTTCTTTCTTGATCTTCTAGCGCAGCTGTATAGTTTGTCTCCGACACAGGATCATTGCCACAACCTTTTGAAATGGGGAATCCACGTAATCCATCATTACCATCAAATGAACTGTTCTCAAAGGTATGAAATTGGGGTCCTTGAGGGATGCATCCTTGGAGATAATTGTGGGAGAGATTTAAGAATTCAAGAGACGTAAGAGAAGCAAGTTGTTGTGGTATCTCTCCCGAAAGGCGGTTAAATGAAAGGTCCAATGATTCCAGTACAGATAAACTTCCAAGTGATGGTGATATATAGCCTTGCAACCCATTATGAGATAAATTAAGTACCCGAATCGCAATAAGATCTCCTAGAACACTAGGTATATGTCCTTCAAATTTGTTGTTTGAAAGATCGATAACTGTGTACAAAGACAAAATTTTCACAACTTCAAGCTTCAATCCCTTCGTTACAACAACTACCAAGTCTTGGTAGTTATATCTACCTCCTAGATAACTTGGTGTCTTCATTGTTTGATCAACAGTCCTCATGCCTTTCAATTGTTGAAACAGACTCTTTGGTAAGTCTTTCGAAAAGGCATTGCTAGAGAGATCTATGATTCGAAGATCAGGAAACATGATTTCAGCCCCTGAAAATCTTATAGGTCCATGCAGTTTATTCGATGTCAATCTTAGAACTCTCAGCTCTGGTAAAGTTCCCAACCACATGGGGAATGTGTCATAGAGATGATTATCTCCTAGATCAAGAACTTGCAGCTTTTTGCAATTGGCCAAAGACCGAGGGATTTCCCCCTCTAGTTCATTGTCATGCAAGTTGAGACTTATAAGTGAACATCCAATGCTAAAATTTGTTGGAAGAGTCCCAGAAAGTTTGTTATTCTGCATATCAAACGCCTGGAGGCTACTAATATTGCCAAAACATTGTGGAATTGCTCCCTCCAGATTGTTTCTGCCCAAATCTAGAATTTGTAGTGACGTTAAATTGGAAATAGATGGAGGCATCTTTCCACTGAGATTATTATGTGACATCACTAGAACCTGGAGGCCACTTATATTACCCAAACATTGCGGAACTTTTCCCTTCAAATTGGTTCTCGGCATACACAACACTTCCAGTGATGTCAAATTGCACACAAATGAAGGAATTTCCCCAATGAGATTGTTATCATTGAGAATCATAGTTTTCAGATTTCTCAAATTGCCAAATGAAGCAGGAATAGATCCATTAAGAGAGCTATTACCCAAATATAGATAAGTAAGAGAACTCAAGTAACCTATTTCTGCAGGAATAGAGCCAGAAAGCTGATTATTATAAAGATACAAACCAAACAAATTGCTCAAATTCCCCAATGAAGAAGGAATAGTGCCATTAAGAGAGTTATTACTCAAATGTAGGATACTAAGAGACCT